GAGGTGAAAGCGGCTACAAGGATGTGTTAGATGCTCTAGCTTCCCATTCTCAGTGGGGCATCAGAGAGCTCAGAAAGACAGGTTTGTATTGGGATTATGGCTCAAAAGTCCCGTAAGGATTTATGGACAATCTCACTGGAAGAAGGATTTCCTGGAGGTGCCACTTCGCCCCACACTAGGGAGGGGGGCACAGTCTCAAGGCCCAGCATTGGGAAGTAGGCATCTTTCTTTTTTTCCTGAGAAGGCCCAAAGACTGACAATTTTGATCCAAATGCCTGACAGGGACCCCAAGCCCAGAACAATTTCACTCTACTGTTGCAATGCTCTCTGAAACGTATGCCCACAGACAGCTTCCACAGACGGTAAGCAATTTAGCCGTGACTGTTCCAGATCCAGAATTAATGTTCCTCAACCCAGCGATGATGCAGTCTCCGTGCCCGGTGGGGCTGCAGTGCGTACGGAAGGACATGGGGCTTATGGAGACGGCGATGAACCTGCAAAAGGGCAATGCTGCTGTTTTTGTATCTTTAAAGCCTATCTCCAGCGTTTCAGATGCCTTTTTTGGTGCTCCTGGGGCCCCGTTCAGGGTTAAGAACCGAGAACGTAAACCAAAGGAAACCCAGAGTTAATCATTAAACAACTGATTGCCGGAGGAACAGAAGGAACAGAAGCAATGTGAGTCCACCTTTCGGATATTAATCTTACTTTTTTGGCCAGAGGCACTTTCTTCTCCCGCAGAATCCCTTGTGTGGTGAATTCGGAGGGAATGCGGACTCCCTCTGCGCTCCCCTCCAAGTGGGACAATGGCCTTGTTCAAGACGGCTAGCAGCTCACCGAATCATCACTGTAAACAAAGCATTCGGGGAGAGGCTGCCTCTTTTGCTTCGAAAGCTTCCTGTGCGGACTCACAAAATCACCTGACTGCTGGCCCAGCTCAAGGAGTGTGTCCGAATCAACACCACGCGACATTCTTTCCTTCTCTTACTTATTAATGTTTAAGGGGACTAGGATGGCAAACCACTCGATCAATCTGAAGGCAAGAGGTATCGTCTTCTCAGATGTTCTGATTAGGCTTCTCTCGTCCCTGAAGGGTTATCAGCTGATGCGAAAATGTGGTCAAAACGTGAAACTGCCCTTTTACAGGCAGGAGGAGGAGGAAGCTGGCTTCCAAAGAAGAGTCTGCCTAAAACCTCTCGGTTCCCAGGGCCTGTGGTGACCTGCCGTCACCTAATATACAGGCAGCAGTATCTTTTATGGATCGCGGCCAACGCTTCCCAATTTACTACCTGAAAATCTCAAATGTCTCACCAGCTTAGGTGACATCTAAAGTGACATGGAAAACACAGCCCTTCTGGGATGGTGAGGTCTCTGTTGCAAGGCTCACCCCGGCAGACAGAGGCTGACCCTGGGGGCTTCCCCGCCCACTCCATGGGAGACGGGTGCCTGGATGGATCAAGGCTGAGGTCACCAGCATGGACAGCTGCACAGCCTGGAAGACTCCCACAGCCTTGGGGAGGCAGGTTCCATCCCAGCAGGGCTCAGAAGAAATGCCTGTCACCTCGACTGGGCAGTATGACCTGCATAGCTCCAGGCCTGACCTCTTTTTGAGTTTCGAGAACGAGCGCAAGGGCGGCTGCATTATGTAATCACCATTAAATAATCTCCTCTCCCCAGAGCGGCTTGCGTTAACACATCTATTTGTTGTAAAGACATAGATTATTTTTTGAAATGCAAACGGGACCAGGACAAGGCTCAATGATCAATTAGAGCTAATCCTCACGTCTCTTAAAGCAGAAATACAACCCGCTGCAAAGGCTTCTCCAGGGGCTTCTTCTAACTTTAAATTTTCTTTTGACTGGGTTGGATGTCGAGAACACTTCGGAAAGACTAAAAATCACACAGTGGTGGCAAAAACCGTGCTGTGGTTACTAAATCCTCTTTGTGAACTAAAAAAACAAAAACAGAAAACAAAAGAACGTGGCTCAGGCTAAGTCTTAAAAACAGATCAGCTGGGGAGCCCAACAAAGGTATGAATGCAGCACTAGATGGAAATAACAAGCCCGTAATGACATGTACGACGTGTGAAACGCACAGCCGGGTCCGGCAGAAGATCGGGTTCTCCCCTGGTTAACAAGGTTCAGGGGGGCCTCCAATGAGCACTGGCTGTAGAAATGAGAAAGGGGAAGGAGGAGGAAGGAGGAGGGAGGAGGAAGGAAGAAGGGCCCTGTGTGCAACTTTTTTTTTTCTTTTAAGCAAGTCTAAGAGACTGGCTCCTAACATCAAAACCGACAATATCTGTCACAATGGAACCTGACTGTGCAGCAACACACTTACAAAACTGCTGCAAAATGCTCCCGGAGGGCAGCGCCCCATTCTGCTCCCCAGAGGCCAAGAGAACTGAGGCCTCGGGTGCCTACCTGCCAGCACCCCACGGAGGCCGGAAATCATGCAGCGAAGCGGCCTCCCAGCCCTTCCGCAGCCCCAGAGGGGGTGAGCCTCCCACACTCTGTGATCCCTCCAAGTGGCCCCGACAGCCCTCTCTGCTCAGGACAGATGCGGCCACAGATGCTTGTGAAAACACTGTCAACCCATTAACTTTTCCATCCTATGTTTGCAGGGGGAAAACCGAGACTCCGGTTTCATGGGCTACACAGAAGGCTACAAAAAAATCAAATACAGCTGATTCCTGGTAGCCTTTCTCTCTCTCTTACACACACACACACACACACACACACACAGAGAGACCTGGTCCAAAAGGATGGCATGACCTCACAGATGTGGCCCCAAGGGCTGCAAGTTCATAAGCTAAAAACAAAGGTTTATTTAAAAACATGCAATGCTATCCTTCTCTGTCCTGAGCATGGCAGGCTGTGATGGCTGCCCCAGTAATAACCAGAATCTAGGACATGCAAATTCGCTGTGAGGAAGAGACTTTAGGCCTGCCCTGTACACAAGATCTTGTTTCTGTCGAGCCTGAGTCAGCGACTGCTTGCAGAATTCATGGCAAAACAGTGTCAAAGATTCTAAAAGTAGGATTTGTGTGCTTCCTTTTGCTTCTCCTTGATTTCTCTGGGGAGGTACCAAGGCTCTTGCACCCCTGGGTCTAAGCGGTAGATCACAAAAGGGCTATGACCACACACCAGTGAAGACAGCCGTGTTGTTAATGGTGCCAGGGAGGGGGAAAGACTAGTCCCTGCTCATCAGAATCCCAGTGCAACTGAAAATAGCACCAGTTTCAACAATTCTGGTTGGACAAAGACTCTTTTTTTGAGTTAAGAAAGCATCAACACAATTTCCTCAGTTAACTGCATTAATAGGATCCATTCATGTCACCGAAAGATGCTTCTTGGCACAGTTCACTTTCCTGACCCAACGACGCCAACAGCAATCCAGAGCGGGCCCAGTAGGGTAATGTGTTGTGACACCAGCCCAGTGAAAACATCCTTAGATGACTGAAAACTGCACAAATCACTACGCGCTGCAGTTCCCTTTTCCGGAGTACTGTTTTCCTGCGAAGTACTTTCAATCCATAATCTAAAGGCAGAATTTAGTTGGAAGAATGTGTTTTTGGATTACACTCAGTGCTTTAGTTGACTTTTAATTCACTTCCTCCTTTATTTCTTTGGACAGAAACTTAGAATGCTGTCCATCAGGCAACAAGCAGCAGTCCGTTCGGTGCTGGGTAGGACACGTGAACAGCGAGTTGGTATTCAGACTCCAATCCCCTGCTGCTTCTATCCACGGGGACCCTGCCCCAGGGCCATTCCTTCCCCAGGGGCAGGACAGTATCCTAAGGAAACTGTGGGCACTACTTGTCAGATTGGTAAGAAAAGACGGGGAGAAAAGATGCAAACTGAGAACAGACAGCAAAGTTTCAAGTTCACAGAAAGATGTCCCCCAAAATGACACAGGCCTACCAGGTATATCCATCTCTTTCGGTGGGAGGGAAGAGCAAAACTTTTCAATGTTTGAGAATTTATTAGCATTTTCAAATAAAGAGAACTACGATTTTAATTTCACATCTTGGCTACGTTTTGACAAAGGAGATGCCACTACGAGTACAGCAACGACTCCTGTCCAGGGACTGATCAGCGTCCCCACTCCCAGGCCCAGCCCTCGATCTCAAGATCCTTATCTGCTCACATCCCAGTGAAACAGCACAACCAGCAAACGAAGCCAGCATGAACCCTGAATCAAAGACCAACACGACAGCTGCGCGGAGACAACGCGTGATGTGGCTGTTCTAGAAAATGACGGAGCATTCTCCCACACAACTTTGCAGCAGAAGATGGCCCTTCTGCACCCCAGTGGGAGACAGATTTGATATTTCTGTGCATGCTTCGTGGTGTGGTTCCCAGTGCTGTAACGTTACAAAGATAAGCCAACGCCTAAATTTTCCTCCTGCGTACTTTTCAGGAACTTAACGTGGTTACCCAGGAGGGGGACAGGACTATACGCTGGCACCTGCCAAGGACAGCCGGATGCTTCAGCACAAGGACAGTATCCGGGTCAGCATGGTATAAGGCATGTATGCGCAAGGAGAGAGGCCACTGCCGGCAAGAAGTAGCATTATGGAGAACGTTCCAACCGGCAGGATAGAAACAAGGCTCGATGCTCCAGTTTTTTAGAAAGTAATCCCAAAAATCCAGTTCAAATCCCTACTGTCAACATGTAGGGAGGAATTCAATTTCTATCATTGTTTCTCCAGGTCTGAGCTAAGCCCATTTGCTCCCGGCTCGGTAATAAAAAAGAAAATAGGTTTCTTCCTGTTTCTTTCTTGGCATGGAAACACAGCTTTGAGAAGAGAAGGTCATGAGTCCCAGGAGCGCTACGGAGGTAGCACAACTCTCCGTACCCTACAAAACTACAGTCAGTGACTGGGGAAAGGGGAACTTACCTAGCCACTAGCATCAAAAACAAAAAGGAAAATTAACTCTGAGGCGCTCCGTTCCAGAAGCACCCCGAATTTTAAAAAAACAAGACCAAACCGTGAAAAATTAAACAGTTAAATTCCTCTTCTAAAAGTCATTTATTTACATATTATATGCCCAGTATATAATGTGTAGATAAATGTATCCTGCGGCGGAAGTGACCAACCTACTGGACTGAACAGCACAGTACAGGACAAATTCTTGAAAGGTGGCATCTCATATTGGTATCCTTTTAATAAAAAAAAAAAATTAAAAATCAAAGAAAACTATCTGGCCAGGGCTGGGATGAGACGAACAGGAACACTTCAGAATCCGAGGCAGAGGGAAGGCTGTCTTGTCTCCTTAGAAGATCGTAGGGGTGTGAAAAGGGAGGGACCGATCATGCACCAAAGTACTTACAAATTACATACCCCACCCCCGCCCCCCTCCATAAAAAGAGAAGAAAAAGCCCATCACTTAACACCAAACAGCAACATCATCAATAAACCCTTTCTCTGCTGCCCATCATGCCTTATTCGAAGAGGAGGCCTGTGAGGAGAGGTGAAAAGAGCAAGGGAGGGAAGATCTGCACTCCAGTCTAGTTTCCAATTTCCATTCCTCTCACACGAAGCCTTCAGTCATCTGATGCCCGGCATCGAGCTCTGAGCAGAAACCGAGTACGTGGTGGCCACGACCGGGGTGCCGTTGTTGGCCGAGTAGCCTTGCCTCAACGTTTCAAAATATGATGCCTGCACCGGTTTGTGATACTGCAGCACTTTTATGGCCTCTTCTATTTTAAACCATTCCCTCTTCCTTCCTGGGGAGGCAGAGAGAGAGAGAGAAATCAGTACAAAAGGGAAGCAACGGAAGGTTTCTGATCTTCTAACTCTGGAGAAAATGCAGATGAAAACACGAAAACAACAGTTAGCGACACTTTAAGACGGGACATGACAAAGCTGGTTTTCCTTCCTCTCTTTTCTTACAAGAACAATGCAAGCCTGCTTCCTACGCCTCAAACCCTGCAGACGTCAACTGCAGGAGAGACCATGTGCAACGCGGACATGTGCAGAGGGATGAGCTGATGGTAATGGTGCGAAACGGGAGCTGCTGCTCGCGGTTTCCTCCGCATTCCTGGGCCTCTGGGCCTCGCTCGGCCTGCATGTACCCGCTGAAGCCCAGCTGGTGCCCCCCGTCTCCTGCAAAACTCAACATGAGCATCAGCTTCCAGAATTATTAGGATGGCTGCCTTGTAATCAGATATTCATTTAAAATTTTTGTTTAAGAGTTAGGTATCAACATATTACAAAATTTTTTTTTTAATGTTTTTTTTTAATGTTTTTTTATTTATTTCTAGGAGAGAGAGTGAGACAGCGTGAACAGGGGAGGGTCAGAGAGAGGGAGTCACAGACTGAAACAGGCTCCAGGCTCCGAGCTGGCAGTCAGCACAGGGCCCGACGCGGGGCTCGAACCCACGGACCGCGAGATCATGACCTAGCGAAAGTCGGACGCTTAACCGACTAAGCCACCCAGGCGCCCCTATTACAAAATATTTTTAAAAAATAACACCATCACTATTAACATTTCAGTCTGTTTTCTCCCCCCCCTCCCCATTTAAGTTTTAAAACCCTTTAGTTTTTCTCTTACAGTAAAAGATGACTGCTTAAAATTGGGAAAATGGAAGAAAGTACAAAGCATATGGAAATTACCCGTAACATTATAAATCAGAAATGACAACTGTGAACACCTTAGTGCCTTTGCTTCTCCTTCATCACACTGGAAAACGGCACTGCGCTGGACAATGTAACGGATCGTGCTGTAAGAGGCTCTGAATCCCGAGATGCTCTGGTAAGAGTGTGTGGCTGGAAACACGGATGCAGGAGCGAAGGGGCCAGGCTCCCATCACATACATCCCTGGCTCAAATGAACACTCAGTCTGGGGCATGTTACCGCACTAGATACTGAGCTGTGCCCCCTTTCCTCATCTGTAGGGACACTGCACCCATCTCACTTGTGAGGATTAACATGTAAGCAATTTGAACAAGACCTGGCACGCAGTACACGCTGTTAAGAGTTTGCTTATGATGAGTGTTGTTATTACTTCCTTTTTTACTTCATGCTGTTTCTCTTAGCGCTCTTCTAAGCTACGAAGAACATGACATTGAATGGCTGCACTACATCGTGACATCCAGCACGGACATGCTGCCATTCATGTAACCACACCCCCATCACTGGACATCAACTGTCTGCAATTTTAGTTATTATAAATCATGGTACAATTAGGAAAAAAAAAACCTTTATCTGTTTCTTTTTTCTTTTAACCTCCCAGGGGAAGATGTCTAGAACTGAGATGGTAAGAATAAAACATCTGGACTCTGAAGGCCGCCTCATGATCTGTAAGGCCAAATTGCTTTCCAGAAAGACCAGCCAGAGCCCCAGTCCCACCTGTGCGCCCTGGGATGCCGTTCTCACCCCACCCGTCAGCACCGCTAACCTTGTCTTTCATCACTGCCAATTCTGCAGGTGAAAGCCAGTACTTCGTTTTTGTTTTCATTTCAAATTCCTTATGTAATGTGGCTCTGATTTGTGTGTGTATGTCTGTACCCTGCTTTCCTCACTCACCAACACCAATTCACAAGCACTGTCCCGTGGTATGTTAGCTTTCACAAGTACATGTTTAACAGCTGTGTGACATTCCATCAGCCGAGTGTACGTACCCTAGCTCACTTATCCTTCACGGGGGTGTCCGTTTAAATCTCAATTTCCACTTGAAAAAGGTTCATCGGAAGGAAGGCTTGTAGGTCTGCCCTCCGTATTTTAGCGTATTTCATGATTTCAGTTCTCCGAAGTACAAGGTGAAAGGCTTGTTGGATATTAATAGAGCAATGGTACCTTGAAAATTCCTATCACAAGTGTGTGACTCCCGCCTGACAGAGTGCTCTGAGGACAGGGCCACGCCACACTCCTCTCGGTCTCCTTTTTAAGCCCTAGCACTGACTGTCAAGGAGTCTATTTTTAGTAACTTTTTAAAAAAATTTATTTACTTAAGCATGCTGCATCCTTACCAGATACAAAGCCGCTAAAAGCTGAAGGGCCATGAGATGCCCGGATCAGCAGTGTGGAGGACATGGTGGCAAAGCACATACACACAACAAAGGGAGAGGTTTCAGCAAGTGAGTTTTATCCGTTAGCCAATTATAACAGAAGGCTTTAAATTAATGTTATACTTTTCTAGAACATACTTTCCTTCAGCGGCAAAAGATTAAACCATGAGCCATTAGATCACCTATGTTTTTAGTTCACAAGATATACATCCAATAGGGATTTGAGAGATCAGAGAAAACGGCTCCTTAGGGGAAAGGCAGGTGCACCCAGAGGGTAACCGGAGTAGAGCTGGAAACTATTCCTGCCGTCCCGCATCTACAAAAGGACTCTGCAGGGAGCGGCTCACCCCCCAGCCAACAGCTGTTCCAACCACGCGAATAACAGCATCGCACGGAACAACCAGGGGCTCGCTCTCAGCGGGCGCTCCGTGGCCAGCCGTGGCCCTAGCACTGCGGAGGAAGGCCGGTACCTGCTGACGGGGGTCCAGTTTGACTTCAGCAACAGTTTTTTCTTATTTTTACATGCTATGTTTCTACCCGCTGACCGTGTGCCCAACATCAGCTTCCTTCTAAATGTTTCAAAGTACTAACTTTCACGAGTTCAAAACGCACATGCTTGTTCCATCAAACACAGCCTTCTATTACTCCTTTTATGAGGCTCACATCTGGTTCTGGGTGATGACCCGTGGGCCTGGGCCCGTTGCGGGGAGCGCTGTGGAGGCTATCTGGGGACAACTTACCAATGTTAACGGAATCTTCCCAGTCTTCCAGCACTTCTGTGACAATGAGCACATAGACATATGTTCTGTGCTTCCTCTCTTGGTTCTGAAGGGCAAAGAGAGAAGGACAGAGGGAGAGCTTCCCCTTAGAGAGCGGAGATTACTTAGGTGAAACACACTCTTAGCCACATGTCCTGAGAGCTCACATACAAGGATTTCACTTTCAATCGTCCTACAATCAATCCTACAGGGCATAGGGCCAGAGGGCCTATTTAGAACAGGCCACACTCGCACTTAAGGTTGTGCTCTTTGGCTGGGCTTGTAAAGCCCAGGCTTTAATCTCTTTTTTCTTTCCCCTTCCCCTCAGTACCACTTCACGGGAATGCTGCGAGAAGGGAGTCTGTGATCTCTCAAGCAAAAGGCACCAAGTAAACTGAACTCGCGAAAACACAAGGAGGAGAAGAGACTGTGGGTGGCGGGGTCCTGGCGGCGCAGGCAAGCTCAGGACGGCGCGCGTCTCCCCCGCTACTACCCTTGCTCGTCTTTATTCCTGATTTCTCACTTGCTTCCACCTCCCTCCAAACCTCTACCCCTGCCTATTTCCTTGTTCCTCCCGCCTCTGCTGTAGCGACTCGACCTTCTTTCTCCTTCTGTCTTCTCTACACGTATCTGCCCTCCTGACACCCTATGACGCAGTGCTTCGCGGCTACTGCTTTTTGTGACCTGAAGTCTCTGGCAATGCTGCGCCAAGCAAGCCCATCGGCACCATCTCCCCCACAGTGCTCACTTCCTGCCTATCCCTTTTGGTGATTCTCACAGTATTTCAAACGTTTTCATTATTATTATTATTATATTTCCTATGGTGATCTGTGATCAATAATTTTTCATGTTACTACTGGAATTGCTTTGGGGCACCAAAAATGACACTCCTAGAAGCCAGTGAATTTAATTGACAAATGTGTTTGCTCCGACTGCTCCACTGACCGGCCTTCCGGTCTCTCCCTGTCATTCTCCCTCTCTTTGGGTCTTCGTTTTCCTGAGACACAACAAAATTAAGATTAGGCCAATCAGTTACCCTACAGTGGCCTCGAAATGTTCAAGGGAGAGAAAGAATTGCATGTCTCTTACTCTCACTTTAAATCAAAAGCTAGCAGCGATCACGCTCACTGAGGAGGGCATGTTGAAAGCCAACAAAAGGCTGAAAGCTAAGCCGCTTGAACCAAACAGTTAGCCAAGTCGTGGACGCAAGGAAAAGCTCTTGAAGGAAATTAAAAGCGTTACTCCAGTGAACAGACATGACAAGAAAGCCACACAGCCTTATTGCTGATATAAAGAAAGTGTGACTGGTCTGGCCAGAAGATCAAGCCAGCCACAGCATTCCCTTAAGCCAAAGCCCAGTCCAGGCCCTAACTCTCAATTCTATGAAGGCTGAGCGATGCGGAAGCTGCAGAAGAAAGTCTTGGTTGATGAAGTTTAAGGAAAGAAGCCGTCTCCATCCCACAACAGTGCAAGGAGAAGCAGCAAGTGCTGATGTAGAAGCTGCAGCACGTTATCCAGAAGATTCCAGCTAAAATAAGTCATGAAGACAACTACACTAAACAACAGATTTTCAACCTTCTATTGGAGAAAGATGCCATCTAGTTCTTTATAGAGAGGTCAATGCCTGACTTTGAAGCTTTAAAGGACACACTGACTCTGGTTACAGGCAGCTGGTGATTCAAAGTTGAAGATGGTGCCCAATGACCACACCAAAAATCCTAGGGCCCTTCAAAGTTCTGCTAAATCTACTCTGCCTGTGTTGTATAAATGGAACAAAGACTGAATGACAGTGTATCTGTTTCCAACACGGTTTCCTGAATATCTTAAGCCCACTGTTGAGACCTCCTGCTCAGAAAAAAAGCGGTTCCTTCCAAAATATTACTGCATTTATTGCCAGTGCACCTGGTCACCCAAGACCTCTGAGGGAAAAGGACACCGAGAGTAATGTTTTCACGCCTGCTAACACAACATCCATCCCGCAGCTTATGGGTCAAAGAGTGATTTCAACTTTCAAGTCTTACTATTTAAGAAATATATTTCATAAGGCCAGAGCTGCCATAGATAGTGATTCCTCTTATGGATCTGGGCAAAGTAAACTGGAAACCTTCGGAAAGAATTCACCATTCTAGACGCCACTAAGGACAGTGGCAATTCATGGAAAAAGATCAAAATATCAGCATGAACAGGTGTTTGGAAGAAGGTGAAGATATGGTGGACACGGCAAGAGAACTAGAACCCGAAAGGAGCCTGAAGATGGGACTTCTTGCTGCAAGCTCATGGTCAAACTTTTCTTTTAAGTTTGTTGATTTGCTTATTTATAATACCTTCTTTTATTTATTTAAAATTTTTATTATTTATTTTTCTATCTATTTATTTATTTTTGAGAGAGAGAGAGACAGAGACAGAGTGAGAGCAGGAGAGGGGCAGAGAGGGGAAGACACAGAATCCGAAGCAGGCTCCAGGCTCTGAGCTGTCAGCAGAGAGCCTGATGTGGGGCTCAAACTCACAAATTGTGAGATTACAACCTAAGTCGAACTCAGATGCTTAACTGACTGAGCCACTCAGGTGCCCCATTTATTTATTTTGAGAAAGAGAGCACAAGTGGGTACAGGGCAGAGAGAGAGAGAATCCCAAGCAGGCTCCACACCACCAGTGCAGAGCCCGATGTGGGGTTCAAACTCATGAACTGTGAGATTGTGACCTGAGCCGAAGTCAGACACTTAACTGACTGAGCCACCCAGGTGCCCAGCTCATATCAAACTTGAACAGATGAGGGGTTGCTTCTCATGGATGAGCAAAGAAAGTGATTTCCTGAGGTGCTGGTGAAGATGCTATGCAGACTGTTGAAATGATAACAGAAGATTCAGAATATTCCATACAAGTAGTTGCTAAGGCAGTGGCAGGGTCTGGGAGGACTGACTCCAATTCTGAAAGAGGTTCTCCTCTGGGTAAAACACTAACCAAGAGCACTGCATGCTACAGAGATATTGTTCACAAAAGGAAGAGCCAACCGATGAAGCAAGCTTATTTTGAGGCACTGCCACAGCTGTCCCAACTCTCAGCAGCCATGACCCTGGATCAGTCAGCAGCCATCAACATCGAGGCAAGACCCCCTACTAGCAGAAAGATTATAGCTTGATGAAAGCTCAAGGTGGTCAGCATTTTTTAGCAATAAAAGATTTTTTTAAAGTTTATTTGAGAAAGAGCACATGTGTGTGTGTGAGTGGGAGAGAGGTAGAGAGAGAGAATCCAAAGCAGGCTCTGAGCTGTCAGTACAAAGCCCGATGCGGGGCTTGAACTCACAAACCGTGAGATCATGACCTGAGCCGAAACTAAGAGCCAGACGTTTAACCCACTGAGCTACCCAGGTGCCCCAGCAATAAAGTATTTTAAATTAACATAGATACATTCATATAGACATTGTAAGTGTATATATACACTTCATAGACTACAGTGCTGTGTGAATATAACCTTCCTATGCACTGACAAAAACCAAAGAAACATCTGACCTGCCTTCTCGCAGTACTTGCTTTGCTGCAGTGGTGTGGAATGGAACGTGCAGGGCCTCTGAGGTGTGCCTGCACTTACAAATAATTCCATTTGTCTGGAGGTTGAGATCCTAATTCCCAACAGGAGGTGATCAGGTGAGGAGGGCTGACCCTCATGGATGGGGCTGGGGCCCTGATAAGAGAGACCCCAGTGAGTAACGTTCCCTCTTTCGCCATGTGAGAACACGGACAGAAACAGCTACAGGTATTTGCTGCTCTTCAAAAGTCCTAGGCACGCCACTTCGCTTTTACGGAAGACCTACATCAGCACCTGTCTTTGCTCACTGAAAGAAATCCGAAGAGGACTTTTTTTGGGGGAAAAAAAAAAAAAAGGTGAAAAGCAAAACCACTAGCACTCACGCTACAGAGGGCCGCTGAAGCAGCAGCGCACGTCTGGAACGTGGAGAGCGGCACCCCAAACTCCTTCCCTGGGAGCTACGCTCGGCACTTCCTCATCAAGCCACCGAGGCTTTGCACTGAGGCTATGAACATCCGTGCTTTACCTGGACTCATTTTGTGCACCCGTTAACAAGATGTGTCCTGAGGTATGAGAAAAGCCTGAGAGAGGTTATGTTTTGGTTCTGGTAATGCTTAAAAAAAAAAAAAAAAAAAAAAAAAAAAAAAAAGTTTGCATGTAAATTAATTGCTTATTCACTTCCTATCGTTTCGACTTACAAATGGTTTCATACGAATACCCTGCTTGCAGAGAGCCGGAGAACCTGTAACTATGAACCAGGAAGTGGTTCTCACCAGACACTGAAGCTGCTGGTGCCTTGATCTTGGGACTTCCTAGCCTCCAGAACTGTGGGGAATCAATTTTTATTGTTTGTAAGCCACTCAGTTTTGTTAGAGTAGCCCAACGGAGTAGGTCAAAGATATGTATGTATGTATACATATGTATATACGCATGTAGATACATGTATATGCATGTGTGTGTATATAATACATGGTTACTAACGTGATAGCAACTGCATAAAGATTTTAACAGACTTACCTCAAAAATTCCAACTAATCTTCCCAATGTCCCTTTTACTCCAGCCTGAAAAGTGAAAAAGAAAAAGTAACGCATTAGTACCATTCACATTGCTGGTCTCATTCTGAATCGAAAACCAAGAGGACATGCCTTAGGTGATCTCCAGGTCTATGGGGGTCACCAGTATTTCCCGTGTGTCACCGCTAAGAGCATGGTGTGCTCTGGGGAGGGAGGATTTCTCGAATCTCCTCCCCGTCTCTCCTGTGTCAGGCTGGCCAGATGTAGCAGATAATCAAGGCCATGAAGGCACACAGAAGATATTTTGAGAAATTAATTAGTTGATTCATTCATTCACTTAACAAATACGCTGAGTGCCTAATTTGAGCCAGATAGCCGTGTACGTGTCAGAGGTACAGTGATGACTAGGCTAGAACACAAGACCCATGACAGCAAGGTCCTTATCGTACCCGTTCCTGGCTGTTTTGATACCGTGTGCCCCATACAGAGCTCAGCACCTTGTACAAACTCTGTAAAGCGCAAACCAACAAATACACAAACGTGGTGATTTTGCTAGTGACAGGTTTTGACAGAGATGTGCAGGACAATGTGATGAACAGAAAAGGGACAGGGAGGGGGCAACTTCACACAGCAGTTGGTTAGGCCTTTGTGCATACACTCTGTATCTTCCATCGGCCCTCTGGTGTTTTTTTTTTTTTTTTTTAAAGATTTATGTCTTTCTGATGCATTATAGTTAAATATTTTGGTCTATTCCAATTACTTAATTTTCTTTTCAACTGTATCTAAACTAGAGTTGTCCCATCCCCAGTCATTTGATACTATTCATTTCTACCTGTCTTTACATATGCTTCCATTATGTATGCCTTTGTTTTCATGATTTTTTTTAGTTCTTTTAAAACAGAAGTTATTCCTTCATTTAATTTTGAATACCCTGAACATACTTAGGTTCCTTGTCAGGCCATGCTATAAAATTCACTTCACCTCAAGTAAATTTAGATTCCAAGTGGTAAAGGAAGGGCTCACTTGTGAGGCTGCCTTCACCAAACTCTCCAAAGCCTGTTCTTAAAGTGACAGTTTAAGGGCTCCTGCTGCGAGGTGACACAGGGAATATGGCGGCCAGAGCCACGCACTCAGGGAGTGGTTTGGCTCCACCTTTTATCGTGCACTGTGTCTGTGTCCTCTCCCTACGTGGGCCCACATCTTTCTAAAAGTCTCAGCTCCCGGTATCCTTTCCGGGATCCTTTCCGCTGGAAACCTGGGCTCCTCCTACTACAAGGGGTGTGACCAGCAAGCAAGGCCACTACAGCTTTCCAATGACAGTCAGCAGTTCTGTTTCTGATCTATGGACGTGCTATCCAACCTGCTTTAGAGCCAGGCTTAGCTTTTGCTTTTTATGTGTTTTATCTGTCCCTGCCCGGGGCAGGAGTGGGGAGAGATAGTAAGGGCCTCCTCCAAGGCCTGGGGAGTGCTGTAACTTGTTCTCCATCACCACTGCCATGTTATGTGTACAATAAACTAAAAATTAGGTGCTCATTAAGTCTGTACAGAATGAACCAAATTTTAAAATATGTACTCTAAAAGCTCTTTATATGTTTAATAATAATAAAAACAATAGAAGCCAATTTAAAGGCCCAGAGCCCTAGGTAGGCTATACTTTGAAATTAATTTTTGCTAATTATGTGCTAAAGAATCTTTTCCATTCTCTTGCTAACAGGCCTGTTTCAGTTCCTATCCATTCTTTCCCCTTTGTGGCTTTTGGGTCTACTCAAATAGAAACGTCTACCTTTTCTTATTTAAACTGATTCTCTACATTAAAAAAAAAAAAAAATATATATATATATATATATATATATATGTTTTTAAAAGTAATCTCCACACCCAATGTAGGGCTCAAACTCACAACCCCAAGATGAAGATCGAGAGTTTGCATGCTCCATCGACCAAGTCAGCCAAGTGCTACTGAACTGTCTACTTAAAAAAAATTTTTTTAATGTTTTTATTTATTTCTGAGAGAGAGAAAAGCATGGGCAGGGGAGGGTCAGAGAGAGAGAGAAATACAGAACCTGAAGTAAGCTCCAGACTCTGAGCTAGCTGTCAGCACAGAGCCCAACGTGGGGCTCGAACCCACGAACCGTGAGATCATGACCTGAGCTGAAGTCGGACACTCAACTGACTGAGCCACCAGGCGCCCCAGACTGTCTACAGTTTTAGGGATAACTGTATTCCACGGCCAGCTGGGGCTAGTGAGACTGTACAGCATGAATGAACCAAGGCAGCTGCCTGAACAAGCGGGACAAGGGGACAGGCCAGTGTGGGCTAGAAAGCCAATTCTGGACCCTGACCCCAGGACAACCGAAGGCTCAGATCAATTCGGCTGTGCTCCTGCCACAGGTCCCCACTGACAGGGACTAAGGGCAGGGCTGTCTGTCAGGCTGGGGGCGGGGAGGGAGGGAGGTGAGGAGATCCACAAGGTTCGCAGAGGCCATCATGCACCTTTCTCTTCCACAAAGTAGAGAAAGCGTTCTCTTTAGCAATTCTAACTGTTCAATTTTTTTGTTTTTTAAGTAGGCGTTATGCTTGCCACTGTGGGGCTTGGACCCTGAGAGCAGGACCTGAGCTGAGAGCAAGAGCCGGATGTTTAACTGAACCACCCAAGCGCACCTAATTTTTCTTAAAGAAACCAAAAGTTTAGAAAATTATCTTCAATTTTTAAGGGCATGACTAATTTAATATTATGGCAACTCAAAATAATTTAAAACTTTTGTGTAATAATAGTATTTTTTGCATTCAACACCAGCATATATCTATGATTTACTGTGCTGTAGGCAGTTGGAAAAGGCATAAAAGCAGTTTTCTTTATAAAGCAGATGCATTCTTTTTTTTAATGTTTATTTTGAGAGACACAGAGAGCATGTGTGTATGCATGCACGAGCAGGAGGGAGCAGAGAGAGAGAGAGAGAGAGAGAGAGAGAGAGAGAGAGAGAGAGAGAGAATCCCAAGCAGGCCCCACAGTGTCAGCAGAGCCTGATGTGAAGCTCGACCTCGCGAACCATGAGATCATGACGTGAGCCGGGATTAAGAGTTGGATGCTTGGGGCGCCTGGATGGCTCAGTCGGTTAAACGTCTGACTTCGGTTCAGGTCATGATCTCACGGTCTGTGGGTTCAAGCCCCGCGCTGGGCTCTGTGCTAACAGCTCAGAGCCTGGAGCCTGTTTCACATCTGTGTCTCCCTCTCTCTCTGCCCCTCCCCCACTCACTCTCTCTCAAAATAAAGACATTAAAAAAAAAAAAGAGTTGGATGCTTAACCAACTGAGCTACCCAGGTGCCCCCAAACAGATGCATTTTATAAAGGCTAGTGTACATTAAATAAGGCTGCCATCTCTACAATGAAATTTCAATGACACTTCTCTTCATTTCTAATTAACTGTCAAGTTGTAGAAATTAACAATAGCTTTGTTTCAGTGTTTCCAGTTTTATTTTTAATAACTGGCAGTTTTGTTAAAATTTTTTTTTAACATTTATTCATTTTTGAGATACAGGGAGTGAGGGAGGGCCAGAGAGAGGGAGACAGACTCTGAAGCAGGCTCCAGCCTCCAAGCTGTCAGCACAGAGCCCGACGCGGGGCTGGAACTCATGGACTGCGAGATCATGACCTGAGCTGAAGTCAGATGCTTAACCAACTGAGCCCCTCAGGTGCCCCTACTTTGGAGAATTTTTTTTTTTAATGTTTTATTTACTTTTGAGAGAGAGAGAGAGCATGAGTGAGGGAGGGGCAGAAAGAGAGAGGGAGACACAGAATCTTGAAGCAGGCTCCAGGAGCCTGATGTGGGGCTCAAACTTGGGAACAAGATCATGACCTAGGCTGAAGTCAGACGCTTAACTGACTGAGCCACCTAGGTGCCCCTAGAGAATTCTATCTAAAGTGATCCTGCCAATGATTCTACGGGAAAAGCAAAGAAATATTCTTATGTTTACCAGCTTCTAAATTGGGACTTAACAGTTTCCTTAAGAGGAGGCACCTCTCTAGTAAGCAAGAGGATTTCAGTTCTTCAAAGTCACAGTGCTGAGCAAGAGAAAGATTCCCCAGAGGCAAAGGTCCTCCAAGACAGAGTTCACTGTAACTATTTTACGTTTTCACGATCCTCCACAGTCCAACTGACTCTGAGCCAGCACCCTCTCAACTGATGCCACAAGCAACAGGAGAGAGTTATTTTTATTTCTCACATGATTCCTGCCCGAGGATTGGGGTAGGTGTCAGGGTCACATGAGACAGATAGTTGGCTCAGACATTTGGGGACAGATCTGCTTCAGGGCATATGTAGGTCTGGTCTAGCCAGGGTGCTGGCATGGACCCGTTCTTCTCAAAAAGCATATAAAAGCAGTTACAATTTCAATCTATAGGTCAAAAGCCCCTAATCTGGAGGCAGGGTCTTTAAGAGCCTATTTTAGCTAGTAGTAAGAATTCCAAATAAAGTACCCATTGCCCTTCACTACTCAACCAACCATATGCAGGCAAGTGCTTCCTTCAACTTCAAAGTATAAAACATCAATTCTAGCACTTTAGGACTAGATAGCAAAAAGAATTTGAACAACGGTCTTTTTTTTTTTCAATTAAAAAAAAATGTTTATTGGAGTGCTTGGGCAGCTCCGTTGGTTGAGTGTCCGACTACTGGTTTCGGCCCAGGTCGTGATCTCATGGTTCTGAGTTCGAGCTCCACCCTGGGCTCTGTCTGCACTGATGGCACAGAGTCTGCTTGGGATTCTCTCTTCCCCTCTCTCTGCCTTTCTCCCTCTTTCTCTCTCAAAATAAATTAAAAAAATTAAAGCGCTCTTAAAAATGTTAATTTATGAGAGAGAGAGAGAGAGAGAGAGAGAGAAAGGAGACAGAGAATCCAAAGCGGGCTCTGTGCTGACAGCCCGATGTGGGTCTTGAATCCTTGAACTGTGAGACTGTGACCTGAGCCGAAGTTGGACACTTAGCTGGCTGATCCACCCAGGCGCCCCAACTGCCTACTTTTTAAAAAGGAAAAAAACACCCCCAAAACTC